AGAGAGAGAGAGAGAGAGAGAGAGAGAGAGAGAGAGAGAGAGAGAGAGAGAAAACGACATAGATAGAGTGACAAGACAAGGTAGAGACAGTCTGACTAACAGTTGCACTGAGTCTGGTTAAATGGTAGGGTCAAACAGTGTTGGTGGCACATGATGAAACACCATAACAATAGCAGCATAATATATAAAAACAGTTGAATGTGCTACAGCACTGGGCATTTCTTGATCTTCTACACATAAACACAGACAAACAATCAGAAAAACCAAGACATCTTACATCACGCAAATCAGCACATTTGAATACAGGACAGTTCAACACAGGGACAAATTTGAATGTTCTTTTTTTTTTCTTTTCATCCAAAGATACACACGGGTCTATACATCTGTCTTGTCTTGACCATTGACATCTTTGCTGACATGGAAAAAATGGAATTTCTTTTATCAACTTACGTCTTCGAGGACATTTCCCAATTCGGAGATGGAAGTCATCTATGGCAATATCTCCTCTAAAGGAACGTCCAACCACGCCCTCAAAGGCAATCTGATGAGTGATTGAAATCTCAGTTTTAGACATCAGGAGCACAGACGTACAAATAAACAAGCTCACATTGCACACGATTTCAGAAATTAGAGAACTTAAAATTACACTAGCATGATAACTTTTTATAAGATAAAATATCTGCAGTAGTTTAAAAGAAGAAGTATTTGAAATATGTATTTAAAGAATAAGGATAAGCAGAGAAAATGATAAAAGATAAAAGAGTAAAGGCATGCGCCTCTATCCCAGCACGAAAATCCAACACTTGTACAAAAGACCTGACATTTTCAGTTTCTTCATATTTTCATTATTTTCTTTAATGTTGTTGAGCACACACCTGATAGCTTTCTGTGGATTCCACGCGAGCCTCTCCAAACTTCCAGACATTTCCTTGAGTGGAGGAGCGCGTCCAGATGCGGGAGTAGTTGGCACCTCCGCCCGTCACAAGATACACATTCAGGGTCTCAATGTCAGGACCAAACATGTGATACCAGAACTCCAAACAACTCGGGGCAGCTGCAGATGATAACGGTAATAGTTGAAGTTATTTATAATAACACGAACTGGACGCAGAGAAAGAGAGAGATAAATAAAGTATCGTCTCCAGTCAGAAGGTTATTTTTTCAGTCAGTGAAGGAAAGGTGGTTTCCAAACAACTAGGGGTGGCTGTAGAGTGAAATATTTGATGGGGGGAGAGAGAGAGAGAGAGAGAGA